CAGATAAGGTTATTTACCACCTCTTCCAAAAGAAATTCAAACTCCCTTTCCTTACACACAGGATTTGTCTCTCATTTCGACGTAAAGAAGCCGATCACATGGCAGTGGAACGCGTTGTCTATAAAAGTTTTCCATTTTGTCTCATCGTCTCCACACAAACACAGACAATGAAAAAGATAAAGAGAAACATACGTTTCATTGGTCAGGTAGATCTCACGTGTGTAAAAATGCTTTGTGTGAGTAGCTTCTTTGTTTTAGGGATCTTCTATTAGTCTTATATAGTGTTGTGAGTTTATTTGGGATCTTACAGTAGCTTGCTATATTGCATATATTACGTTGTTCTGTATGCAGTTATAGTTCATAGTGCATTCGTATTTTGTTCTCTAAGTTACATCTTACAACGGTTGTTTATGTTATACAGATGATTTTTCTGTTGTTTTTTTTTATAATTTGTAACATGCTTTCAATGCAGATATAACTAACGTTTACATTGTATTTGCTGATTATTTTGTGAAGTTTGCTTGATTTGTATTTTGTGCTTTTTATTCAGCAAAATATTCAGTAAACTCATCGATAAACAAGAAAAATCAGGTAAAAAAATAAGTTCCAAAATTTCTCGTTAAATTTATTTTGATTAAAAAACTGATAGCTTCTATATCTAGTGAAATACCTGTACTGACCTTTCAAAATGTAACGTGTGGTACGCTTATTGGTATTGTTCAAATATTTACCTGTTTATGTTGCAAATAAAAATTAATTTGCTACACAAAGAAGTAAATATGTTAACAAGATGAATCTGATTACCATACGTAATTGTTTTAGGAACACTTTTGGCGTTAGTGTGTGTGTGTGTGTGTGTGTGTGTGTGTGTGTGTGTGTGTGTGTGTGTGTGTGTGTGTGTGTGTGTGCGACAGCGTTCTGTGCCATTTTGTTGCCAAATAACGACACAGACTTCTAACAATTTTATCTTAAATTGCTGGAAGACTTGACCAACAAGCAGTTCAAAATGTCTCGTTATGAACTGGGATCATCCTTCGCAAATGTATGTTCATATCTTAGAACAAAAACAAAAATTAGTTTTCAGATGATAGAAAAAAAAGCAAAAATGCGTATTTTATATAAAATAGTAATAAATAAGTTTGTTAAAATTCGTTCACTCAATTTTATTATCTTTTAAGCACTGATCTGCTAAAAAAAATAGCATACCATGATGAAAAAATGCTCCACACTTAATAAAAACAAAGTTTTATCGTCAGCATCATTATTTTATCATTAAGAGGAAAGATCAAAGTATCTTTTTTATTAGTAAATTATAGTTTTTATCCTTTTTAGAACCTTCGAAATTTTGGTTAAAATGTTCTTTTTTTTTTTTTTATCTCAGCGGGGATATGGGAGTCAAAGATTTGTATAGAACTTTTTAGCGTCTTTTTTTGCAGTGAAAGGCACAACTAATTTGGAAATTCTTGCAAAATCAAATAACTATCGTATTATAACGAAACTTACAAAAAGGCATCAAATTATTTTAGAAATATCTTTTATAGAAAATCTTGGTAAAAATATTATATATATATACAGTGTAACCCGGATATAAGAGAGTTGTCAGGACCGGAGACGAAGTCTCTTATATCCGAGTTTCTCCTATATCCGGGTTTGGTCTATTTTATATACATTAATACAGGCTCTAATTTGGGACCAGAGAAAAAAATCTCTCTTATATCCGGGTTTCTCTTATATCCGGGTCTCTTATATCCGGGTTACACTATATATATATATATATATATATATATATATCTGTTACCCTCCACTTGTTTAATTTTATGAAATTTTGAGAAATTTAATTTTGTAGAGCTTAATGTTTATATTAGTTAAAAGCAGAAATCCTTGGAGAATTTAAATCACCAATTTCTTTTTGTGAAACAGGACCCCCTGTAACCGAAAACCTGCTCTGGATTGTAAAATAAAAAAATGCAAAAAAATCTAAGGCATTATTTTATTAGAAAAGTTTTTAATTGCTTTTATGAATAAGATATATTGTGTTAAGAAAAAAGATTTCGACGAATAATGAATTTTTATGAGGATTGTCTTCATTTATTTTAAAATTTTAATTAGAATAAATTATAACGTTTTAAATCTTTTAAATGTCTGTATTAATTTGTAGAGGTTAGATGATAGTGTTAAGTAAAAACAATATTCACTTATAATAAATGAAAAAGCTTATTACAATTCATCGACCCCCAATATTTTAAAAAAGAATTTTGAATTTTTTCTTGTGTGTATAAACGTACCGATTTTTGTAAGTACGGTGGTCCATACACGAAATTATCAGAAAATAAGAGCGATAACTATAAAAAATTTAAAGCAAAAGTAGCTAAAATTCAGTAAAACATTAGATTACGGAGAATATTTTTCTAATTTTTTAAGATTACTGGGTAGTTTAAAATTGTATTAAAAAAAAGACGTTCACTGTAAATTTTACAGCTATCAGGTCTTCCCATAAGTTCTGTCCGAATTTTGAATAAAGAAATCAAGTGACCAAATGTTACAGTTAATTACAGATTCAATCAACAATGTATTTTCCCTGATTATCTATGACTTCCTTCCATCTATTAACAAGCTTACTAATTCCATGACTGTAAAATTCTTTTAGCTTTGATTCGAAGAACTCACAAATTTCAGTTTTAACCTCTTCCTGTGTTACAAAAGCTGTTTCTTCCAAAGCTTCCTGTAAGCTACGAAACAAATGGTAGTCTGAAAGAGCAAGATCGGGAGAATAAGGTGGATGAGGAATTTTCTCCCAACCAAGTTCTTCGATTTTTTCTGACGTGATTCTTGCTGTGTGGGGTCTCACATTGTCCTGATGAAACATCACCTCTTTTCGATTCACTAGAGCAGGTCTTTTTTTCCTCAAAGCTTGGTTCAAACGCTCTAATTGCTGACAGTATATTTGAGCATTAATTGTTGCATTAGGTGGTAAGAATTCAAAGTAGATTATTCTTTGGCAATCCCACCAGATTGAAAGAAGAACCTTTTGCCCATGAAGTTCCCTTCTCGGCTGTGGCTGGGGTCCTTCCCCTTTACCAAGCCACTGTCTACGACGCTTAACATTTCGATAAAAGATCGATTTTTCGTCACCAGTCACAAGTCTATCCAAAAAGGTGAAACAAGTTGGCGGGAATGGAGAGAAGAGCAGATGTCAACTCGGGATTTGAGGTTGTAGTCAGACAATTCATGAGGCACCCATTTTCCAAGTTTAGGAAATTTTTCTAAGTTGTTGAAGATGACGATGAACAGTTGTATGGCTTGAACTGAAAACCACTGCCAATTCCTCAACTGATAAAGCAGGAAAAGGGCTGCTTCAAGAAGCTTTTCATCAAACTCAACTGGACGTCCGGTTCGATCTTCATCTTCTAGGGGGAAATCTCCACCTCTGAATTTTACAAACCATCTTCTGCAAGTTCTTTCATTCACACATTCCTCTCCAAAAACTGAGTGAATGTTTCTAGCCGCTTCGGCTGTTGAGTTTCCTTTCTTGAACTCATAAAGCATTATGTGCCTCAAATGATTCTTGGGTACTTCCATGTTAGCAGGGTTTTAATCAAACGAAATTTAATTTTATTGTTCTCTGAAATAAAATTTGATCAGTTTAAATGCATCTAAACATAAAAATAATGTTCAACTCCATTAGGCATTATAAAATACTCTTTAAATTTCGTTCATTTTAACAAAAAGTTAAAATTCGGACAGAACTTATGGGATGACCTGATATATCCACCGTATAAAAAAAAATAGGTAAACGTCCGTCATGTTGTCAATCTGCCAAACCCTAAATAAAAGCTACCATCGTATTAAAAAAAATGAATTTCTGCGATATTTAAAACGTACTTAATATTTGTTTCAAATCAGATTAATTAAACTTTAAATCTTCCTCAAATAAAGTTTCAGAAAAGCATATTTTATTCTTGAATTTTCTTTTAATAAAGAGAATTACAACATTATGATGAAAGATTGCTAAAAATGGTGTTAATATCAGCGATTTTATCAATTTCAAGACGAAAATTCCTTCCAGACAATTTAAATTAGTTTTTAAATACAGAAATGTATTTTGCTTATTGGAAATATTAAATTTTATTCTATTAACTTCAAAATATATCTAAAAAAGCTTCAATAAAGATTTTTTATTTTTTTAAATTCATTTTTTTAACCTTAGATATCGAGTTTCTGAGAAAGTACGCCGATTTAAGGAAATTATTATTCTTCATCGAAAGTTGAAAGTTAAAACTGAAAATGTTATTATTGGGAGACATGCTCTAAGGAACTCCTCTTGAAATATAATTTTTCGAATTTTTCGGTTTACTATGAAAACTGATGAAGTTTTATACTTTATTATTTTTTTTCCAAATCAATTTTGAATATGAGATCGAGTAAAAAAGTATTTCAGGTTCAACAGTTTTTCACTTGCACTGTCATGTTTCGATTTACGTTTCCCACAAGAATTTCTTTTCTTTTCTTTTTTTTTCAATCATATAAATGTGTGTTTGTGTGCGTGTTAAGAATTTTAAAGCAAGGAAAGGTGCCCCTGACATTCGACTTGTAACGACAGATTACATTTTCACACACACACTTATTTTTTTTTATTACATCTATTTCTCTCTTTTTCTTTCTTTCTTTCTTTCTTTCTTTCTTTCTTTCTTTCTATCTATCTATTTTTCTATCTCTCCATATATATATATATATATATATATATATATATTTGCTTTTGTAGGATTATCGCCATGAATAAAAATCGAATAATGTGGTGAATAAAGGTCCCTGTGTGATGTGTGTGTGTGTGTGTGTGTGTGTGTGTGTGTGTGTGTGTGTGTGTGTGTGTGTGTGTACGTGAGCGCGCGTGCGTGCGCTTACGTAGATTTTTACTTTACTATTTTTTCTTTTAATCTCTGTCGAGAGGCACCCTTCAGTAGAGTCGCTGGCGCCGCCAAATGTTTCTTTCTCTGTGTTCTTCATGCGCGTCTTTCAATTTGGAAATGCTCCTTTCGAACCGGCTCAGCCCACAGAGACAGAGAGAAGTGGGGCGGGGAAAAATTCAGGGACGTGGGGGTGAAAAAAAATATAGCCATCAAATAAACAAATGAATACAAGGAGAGAGAAAAAAAATGAGCAGCCGTTTGAGACAAGGCATCATCAATTGTTACCGGGCAGAGGAAGTCAATCTGCAAGGCGCGCATCACACAGTCCACAAAAAAAAAAAAAAAAAAAAAAACCTTTTTTTCAATCTATATAGGACCTATGTCATGCCTATCTACATATGTCATGTAGATAGATATGATGGAATGCTGAAAAGATATCGGCCTTACCAAGATGTAACTGCGCAAAAGACGTCATGTTTGATCATTTGGACATGTTTTAGAAGGTGGGTCGCTCCGAGAAAATTTCAGCACGCCCTTGTAGAAAGAAAGAAAGAAAGAAAGAAAGAAAGAAAGAAAGAAAGAAAGAATTTAAATTAACTTCATTTGAAGTAATGGATAGCGGCTCAGATTGAGGAATCGGAGAGCCGAGTTCGAATTCCAGTCGAATCCATTACATTCACTTACGTGCTAATACCCTTGGGAAAGGTATGAATCCAACTCTCTTGGCCTGAAAAGGCACGGTGGGAGTAATAGATAGCGACTTGGATTGAGGAATCGGAGAGCCGAGTTCGAATTCCAGTCGAATCCATTACATTCGCTTACGTGCTAATACCCTTGGGAAAGGTATGAATCCACTTCTTCTCAAAGAAAAGCTATCGTTAAATAGTAGGACAGACCGGGTTATATAACCTTGGATGGCAACTGGTCTACCCCGAAAGAAATGGCAACCTACTGCGAGAAAAAAATCTGCCTCGTCAGTTATGTATCGAAAGATACATGATCGCCTAAGCGTGTATCACGCATGGCACATAACTCAGTTGAAGATAGATAGATAGATAGATAGATAGATAGATAGATAGATAGATAGATAGAATTTGAATTAACTACATTTTGGGAAAGAGTAATGAACAAATGTAGATGATACGTGGATACTGTAGATTTTAGAAGTACTCTAAATACTGAAACTTAGGTGGATCCGGGTTCAATTAAATCTTGACTATATCTTCATCTCATTCAAATCGTATACGATGTACAGCTTGAAAGTAGCAGTAGCACACATATGAGTTCGTGCGTACATATACGCATAAGAGATCACACGAATGTCTATGTATTTATTTACTTGAATCTGTTGGTCAACTTGCAGTCTATTCGCGAAATTCTTTTTATAGATTTCACCTCAAGAAAGGCAGTAAAGCCACTAAGTCACAATGGCGGGGGGGTACATGAAGGATTGCCATCCAAGGCTATAGTCTGCACAATGTTGGGGGGGAGAAGAAGAAGAACAAGAACAAGAAGAAGACGACTGGAATTCGAACTCGGCTCTCCGATTTCTCAGTTCGAGCCGCTATCCATTCCTCCACCGAACGCCCTATAAATGTCATCAATCTTTAAACTATTGCTTAACATATTATTAACTTTTTGATTCTAAGATAACATGCAGCAGTTCCTTTTCCTTCACAAAGGTCTACGTTTTAATCTCCTTATTTTTCTATGTGTCGTGTCCCTTCAGGACGTTAGCGATCATGGCTCTCCACAATTTCCTGTCTTTTGTAACTCTTAATAAATGTTGTCTTTTGGTTATAACTCCTAAACCTTGTTCTGCCATCCATTTACTCAAAGTCATTCTTCAACTTTTTCTATGTGTCGTGTCCCTTCAGGACGTTGGCAATCATAGCTCTCCACATTTTCCTGCTCTTTGTAGCTCTTAATAAATGTTGTCTTTTGGTTATCTCTTCTAAATCCTGTTCTGTCAACCATTTACCCAAGCTCGTTAAGTAGTTTAGGCGCCGTTTTCCTTTGTCCCTCTTGCTTTCAATCTGTCTCATGTCAGTATACATAACTTTTAAATGATGATCTATACATTTTCTACTGTATTCATATCTGTAGATATTAGATATTCCATTATTTTGCCATCTTTGAAAAATATTTAGCAACAATCAGCTTTGCAGAATAGAATAAGTCACAATGAGTATGACTCTAAGCTTAAAACTGCCTTTGAGACTATCAACAAATATATTATTTACTATTACATCCGTTTCAATCGTTATATAAATCAGGTCACTTGTTGTAGAACAGGGGTAGTATTTATTTGCGAGATGATGACCAACCCTCAAGTGGTATAATTTTGTCTCACACCACCAAATAAGTTCCTGTAGATATTGCTAATGAAAACATAAACTGAAATTCATGTTATATGTTTTTAATAAGTACACACTGAAAAATCTATAAACATCGGTTGTTTAATACCAATTTTATTGTGAAAATATTGACTTGCTTAATAAAATCTAACATGATAGATCGATCGATAGATAGATAGATAGATAGATAGATAGATAGATAGACTGATATATATGAACAGACTGAGATAGATAGATAGATAGATAGATAGATAGAACAGATATATATATAGATAGATGATATAGACAGACTGATAGATAGATAGATAGATAGATATAATAGATAGATAGATAGATAGATAGATAGATAGATGAACAGACTGATAGATAGATAGATAGATAGACTGAGATAGATAGATAGATAGATAGATAGATAGATAGATAGATAATGAACAGACTGAGATAGATAGATAGATAGATAGATAGATAGATAGATAGATAGATAGAAATGAACAGACTGAGACAGATAGATAGATAGATAGATAGATATGAAAAGACTGAGATAGATAGATAGATAGATAGATAGATATGAACAGACTAAGATAGATAGATAGATAGATAGATAGATAGATAGATAGATAGATAGAAGTTATTAGAACATTTTAAAATTTACAATCCACCTCATCAATTCCCTTCTCAGTAATTAATTAATCATTATGACAAATGAACATACGCATCCACCCGATACACCTGTTTTACTGCCTACGCACCACACATTGAAAAAGTTACGACGACAACTGGGGCTGCTGCCACCAGCGGAATGCACCTTCGGCTGTGTGATTACTAATAATTCCCCGTGGGTATCGGGCCAGACTCAGAGTCGTGGTGTTGGTTTATGTATAAGGCCAATGGGATTAATATATATATATATATATATATATATATATATATATATATATATATATATATATATATATAGAGAGAGAGAGAGAGAGAGAGAGAGAGAGAGAGAGAAACACGTCCCGTCTACAAAGTCCGTCGTAATGAACATCTGTCGACAAGAAAAGTTGGCAAATATTTGCATAAGATTCACAAGAAGAAACAAAAATTCGAAACATTTTTGAATGAAATGTTGGAAAAAAAAAAAACAAAAAAAACCAAGAAAATAGATACAGTGTAACCCGGATATAAGAGAGTTGTTGGGACCGGAGAAGAAGTCTCTTATATCCAGGTTTCTCTTATATCCGGGTTTGGTCTATTTTATATACATTAACACAGGCTCTAATTTGGGAACAGAGAAAATCTCTCTTATATCCGGGTTTCTCTTATATCCGGGTCTCTTATATCCGGGTTACACTGTGTAATTTTTCTTCGAGAGACAACAGAGACCATAATTATTGCAATGCTTTTGGAATCGTTCTGGTCAATAGCTACTCATATCGCAGCTGACATTTCTTCACTGTAAGCCGTAAATCTTTTGCCTCGATGAGTTGAGAATAAAGTATATCATTTGTTTTGTACTGCGCACGCAACCATGACTTGCTTGTAATTTTCAGTGTCCATTATAAGTCGGCAGCATTTAACAAATTATTTTCCGGATTTTCTGGCTGTTTCCCCTGTAAATTGCCAACAGCTCCATTTCAGACTGCATCAGTTTTCTCCACTGATAAATATGTTTGGGGCGTCCGTTGAGGGCATCTATCATTAGGGGTGCGTTTGCGTTAAGATATGTGTTTTAAATGAATATATTCCATTTTACACGATCACTGTTGATTAAAGTACATTGTCGAAAGGAGATCTGGAAGCATAAATCTCAATCAGTCAGTCATTTATCTGGCATACGTGACACACGCTTAGGCGATCATGTATCTTTCGATACATGACTGACGAGGCAGATTTTTTACCCGCAGTAGGTTGCCATTTCTTTCTGCGGTATAAATGTAGTAAATGTACCCACACGCACATGCACGGACATACAGAGATAAATCCTATCGCTCATTTACATTAATGTTAGTCAGTCAAGTGCCATGCGTGATACACGCCTAGACGATCATGTATCTTTCGATACATGAGTGACGAGGCAGATTTTTTTCCCCACAGTAGGTTGCCATTTCTTTCTGTGGTATACCAGTTGCCATCCAAGGCTATAGAACCCGATCTGTCCTGCTATTTACCCATAGCTTAGTAGAAGAGGATTCCTTTCCCAAGGGTATTAGCACGTAAGTGAATTTTACTCAGTTATATACAATGTGTGATACACACTTAGCCGATCATGTAACTTTCGGTACATTACTGAAGAGGCAGATTTTTTCACGCAGTAGGTTGCCATTTCTTTCTGCCGTAGACCAGTTCCCATCCAAGACTATAGAAACTGATCTGTCCTGCTATTTACCCCTAGCTGGGAGGAGGAGAAGAGGTTTTATACTTTTTCCGAGGGTATTAGCAAGTAAGTGAATGTAATGGATTCGACTGGAATTCGAACTTGGCTCTCCGAATCCTCAATCCGAGCCGCTACCCATTACTTTACCACACACTATCATATGTGCTTGTGCAAAAATCGCCATCAAATGTCATATTTAATATCAATCTCGAAAGCGATCATATTTATCATCATTTACTTACACCGAATCTGATTGCCATCAGTGCTAGACTGACTGTTATAAAAATGTGGTTCTTGATTTTATAAAATGTATTTATGTTGATAAATGAATACTTGTTAAATATTAACAAATCTACGCAGGAAACTTAAACTAGCTGACACGATGAGATGTCTCATTTATGGACGTTGTACTTTTAACATTGTAGTCTTCGAGGCTTTAGGAAAACAAGTTCCCGAATCCAGAGAGTCCACTGAATTTTCATAATCTATTGTTTAATCTCATGAATTCTTCATTACAAAGATCAATTTAATTTAACTAAAAGAAAACGCTTGATTGCGTGATAAAAGCCTAGGGAGAAAGTGAGGGAGAAGTGCATTAAGATATGCACAGATTAAGATAGATATAAAGCATAAACATATATCGAAAGATAAACACACACACACTTATATATATATATATATATATATATATATATATATATATATATATATATATATATACATATTGTATAGCACGTACATAATGCGTTAAAATTCCATTTCTCTGCCGTGCGCCGACAGACTAGGGTAAGAGTCTCTGACTATGTCAAATCGGTCGAGTTTTTGATCCTGGATTGAAGCAATCGATGTCTAGCTACACTGATGAGCTGTGATACAGTGAAACGGGCTATCTGTGGATAACTATATATATATATATATATATATATATATATATATATATATATATAGATAGATAGATAGATAGATAGATAGATAGATAGATAGATAGAAATTGGGAAAATTGTATGACAAAGTGGAAAAATTTTACTTGTGAAGCGTTTCGTCCTTCAGGACTTTGGCCTAAATTTGTTAATTTGGTACGAACGAGAGGTGCTGGGAATTTCAGAATTTTCGTGCGCATGTGTAGTCCTACCAGCATAACAAATTTAGGCCGATGAATTCTTTAAGGGACAAAACGCACCCAAGTATAACTTTTCAACTTTGTCATACAATTTCCCCAATACTTTTCTTGATATATAAATATATATATACAGTAGCGTCCAAAACTAAGGGACAAAATTTTAAAACCTAATATTTGTTAGAAATAACAACTGTGAAAAGCTGAAATTTTGACAACTGGTAGTCGTTATCATCCATAATAACATACTAAAATTTGAATCATTTGCAAAGGATAGAAAAAGAATTATAACAATTATTTATTTATTTTCAAATTTGGAACGTCCAAAAAGTAAGGGACAAAATTGAGAAAACAATGTAAACGGCAAAAAAAACAATAAAAAATACATGTACAATCAATATTTAGTAAATGAGCCCTTGCTCTCAATGACAGCTGCACATCTTCGACTACAAGAACGAATCAGTTCTTGACAATCCTCGATACTAATTTTAGACCATTCTTCTTGAAGCTTCACCCACAAATCCTCCGTGTTAGTGGGATTTCTTTCCATAACTTTCACTCCTAAGGTCTTCCAAAGATTTTCTATTGGATTTAAGTCAGGACTTTGCGGTGGCCAATCCATAATTTCCAAATCTTGCTCGCTAAGGTAACTCATTACCACCTTTGCCTTGTGACATGGGGCATTATCTTGCATAAAGGTAGCCCTATCGAAACCTGGATTCTGTATGATTGGCGCAACATGATCTTGAACAATGTTTTTATAGATCTGCGCGTTTACACGAGTTTGTAACCGGACAAGAGGCGTTGTACCTTGGCTAGAAAACATTCCAAATACCATGACGCTTCCGCCCCCAAACTTGACAGTTTTCTTAGTACACTTTGCACTTAATCTTTCACCAATACGTCTCTTTACATTGTTTTTTCCATCATTTCCAAATAAATTAAACTTGCTTTCATCACTGAAAAATACTTTTGCCCAATTTTCATATGTCCAAATTACATACCTGTTTGCAAACTCTAATCTCTTCTTCTTATTCTTCGAACTAACAAGTGGTTTCTTCCCTGGGGTTCGATTAAACAGCCCTATTTCTTGCAGTCGTCTACAAACAGTCTGTCTTGACACATTAACACATGAGGTACTATTCATAACCCTTTTAATTTCTGTGCAAGACATAAAACGGTCCTTTAATGACATACGCTGCATTATTCGATCTTCTCTTGCCGAAGTTTTGCGGGGTCTGCCGGTTTTAAAAGTACTGACTATTTTGCCAGTATCATTGTAGGATTTAACAACCCTGCCTACAACACTCTTGGAACGTTTCACTTTCTCTGAAATCTCTCTAATGGTGTGCTTTTCCTTGTGTAGCTTCACAATAGCTTGTCTCACAAAGTAATCAAGTTTTTGGCGTTTCGTCATGGTGCCGGCTGATGCAACGTTTACAAATGACTAAGTAAGACTTATTCTTTAGAGGAAATCAAAAAATTTGAATATAGCATACTGTTTACATTGTTTTTCTCAATTTTGTCCCTTACTTTTGGACGATCCTATTTTGAAAATAAATAAATAATTGTTATAATTCTTTTTCTATCCTTTGCAAATGATTCAAATTTTAGTATGTTATTATGGATGATAACGACTACCAGTTGTCAAAATTTCAGCTTTTCACAGTTGTTATTTCTAACAAATATTAGGTTTTAAAATTTTGTCCCTTAGTTTTGGACGCTACTGTATATATATATCGTTATCTCATAGATAGATAGAT